GTCGAAAGAAATTTATTAAAACGCATGAGAGCTTGCGTTAGGATGGATGGCGGGCATTTTGAGCATCTGCTCTAAAATTTTTTTTAATCAATCCGCTCTTTTCAGAGCGACCAATACATTTTCACGTTGGAACATTTTATTGTGAGCAGAATAAAAATAAATTTTCCCAAATGTAATTTGTTAATTACATTATTCCTGCGATTGACTGAAATCTTCGCATCGTGAATGCAATAGTTTCGAAAATGTAATAACGCATAACACATGCTTTTTAAAATAATAATTATTTATTATGATTAAAAATAGTTATTATTTATAATAAATAATTAATTATTTTAAGTACGTTTCATGTTTTATACGTTTCATGTTTTCTACCGCATTCGCAATGAGAAAGTTTTAGCCGATTGTTCGTCTTATCTCGCGTCAATCACGCGTCAGTCGTGCAAGTCGTTTATTGTTAGATGTCGCGTGTCGCGTTTCTGGCAACACATAACCCTCGTGGTCGCGCAGTCTCCGCGGTCCGTCGCTTCGCGTCGAGTCATGTGTTCTCTCGCGTTTCTTTTAAAGTAATTTTTAGTCTCGATAAAACGATGTGAATCGAGTGAGTAATAAACAGAATAATAAACTCGTTATCGCGTAATCTGTGTTAATCGAGTGTAAAAGTGTTTCGAAGTGAGAAAGTTTCGATGTGTCGCGCATCTCTAACATCAGCGGTGCAGCGATCTGATAATCGTGCAGCAGTTACAACAATACGTAGCATAAAGATTCGCTACGCTGCTACAAGGTGAGTGAGCAATCTCTCTCTCTCTCTCTCTCTCTCTCTCTCTCTCTCTCTCTCTCTCTCTCTCTTTTACGCACACACTCCGCCATACACACATCGCGTGTAGCAATCAGCTGATTACAACGTTCGACGGTCGGCGATCCGGAATAACTTTTAATAATTAACATTATTTTAAGGAACACGTATTCCTGATGTAATTCTAAGACATTTTCTTCTTTACCAAAATTTTATTTCAAGCATAATTTTATGTTATAAGATAAAATAGTTAGTGACTCATGCAGTGGTAATCGCCTGTCGGTCAGCTGCGCCCGCGCTCGCGGCGCGTCGGGCCGCCCCTGCCTGCCTCCTGTACCCGACGCATGATTTACTAACTATTTTTGCTTATAATTCAAAAACTACGCTTCAAATCAAATTTTGGTAAAGAAAAAATTGTCTTAGAATAGTATCAGGAATACGTCATTTTAAAGACGGAAGGTTTTTCGGGATCTCCCTGTATATTGTAGTCAGCGAAATGTTATTATAGATCGATCACGAGCTATCGCGCAAAATAAATGATCGTTACTTAACTAAAGGCGAAATGCGAATGCCAAATGCGAATCTGCGGTTCGGTCAATTAGCAGGCTATTCCTGTCTCAAGACGAGACAAGGTGCCCTCGGCTGTCAAAACAAACGGATATAATGATATTAAATCTCGTCAACTCTTTCGCATTTCTATTATCATTTATAATATATACCGGTATTTTTCATTGATAAAATGATGAAATTATTTGGTGCTCGTCCAATACAAGTTTCATTTGATAGATGTAAGAATTTTCTAAAAATTTTATATATTTTAGGAGTATAACTAATAAGTTCCCGCTCCTCAATTAATTAGATGATTCCAGCTGCAAATGTGAAGTTAGGCATTTGTCAATAAAATTGAATGCGCAGAAATTCATTTTTTGTGAAAGAGATGTTTTTTTAATCGATTTAAAATGGAACGTGATTAGTTGTTTTTTTGATATGTACTTCTTTACTACTTCGATTTAAAAAAAACTCATGTTCATAAACAATACGGACCACAAAATGTTTGTCAAAATTTCCTCGCGTGTCATCATTTGTGTGATAATAATTATGCCGCGCGCGTGTCTATTTATAGTTTCGATTATCATATTATAATGATTATGCATATCTGGCAATCTGAATATTCCATTTATTATCGATTCATTTATTCGTTGCGTTTTCTCGCGAATTTTAAATCGCGATTTATTTTGTAATTTATTTGTTAATTCACATCAAAATTCTATTTTGTCACATTTTGAATATTTCCTTTAATAACCTCTACTGATCTCTATTCTAATAATACTACTAATCATTTATATATATATATGTATATGTATTTTTCATTGATAAAATGATGAAATTATTTGGTGGCCGTACAATAAAAGTTGCATTTGATAGAAATAAAAATTGTATATACATTAGGAGTATAACTATCAAGTTCCCACCCCTCATAATTAGATAGCTCTAGCTGTAAATGTAGTGAAGTTAGACATTTGTCAATAAAATTGGGGGTGCAAAAATTTATTTTTTGGGAAAGAGATATTTTTTGAATTTAAGTTATTTTTCGATTTACAATGGAACATGATAAATTTTTTTTCGACATGTATCTCTTTACTACTTTCATTTAAATAAAACTTATGTTCATATACAATACGGACCACAAAATGTTTGTCAAAATATCTTCGCGTGTCATCATTTCTGTGATAATAATTTTGTCTCGCACGTGTCAATTTATAGCTTTGATTATCATATTATAATGATTATGCATATCTGGCAATATGAATATTCCGATTATTATCGATTTATTTATTCGTCGTATTTTCTCACGAATTTCAAATCGCGATTTATTTTGTAATTTAAATGTTGATTTATATCAAAGTTCTATTTTTTCACATTTTGAATATTTCCTTTGATAACCTCTTCTAATCTCTACTCTAATAATACTACTAATCATTTGTATATATATGTGTGTGTGTGTGTGTGTGTGTGTTTTTCATAAAATGATGATATTATTTGGTAGTCGAACAATAAAGGTTTCATTTTATAGAAATAAGAATTTTCTAAAAATTTTATATATATATTAGGAGTATAACTATCAAGTTCCCGTCCCTCATAATTAGATGGCTCCAGCTGTAAATGTAGTACAGTTAGGCATTTGTCAATAAAATTGGGGGCGCAAAAATTTATTTTTTTGTGAAAGGAATATTTTTTGAATTTGAGAAATTTTTCGATTTAAAATGGAACATAATAAGTTTCTTTGACATGTACTTCTTTAATTTAAATAAAAATAAATTTAAATAAATTTAAATAAAAATAAATTTAAATAAAACTTATGTTCATAAACAATACGGATCACAAAATGTTTGTCAAAATATCTCGCGTGTCTTCATTTGTGTGATAATAATTATGTCTCCCGCGTGTCTGTTTATAACTCCGATTGTCATGTTATAATAATCATGCGTATGTGGCAATCCGAATGTTCCGATTATTATCGATTTATTTATTCGTCGCATTTTCTCGCGAATTTTAAATCATGATTTATTTTGTAATTTAAATGTAGATTTACATTAAATTTCTATTTTTTCGCATTTTGAATATTTCCTTTGATAACCTCTTCTAATCTCTACTCTAATAATACTACTAATCATTTATATATGTATGTATTTTTCATTGATAAAATGATGAAATTATTTGGTAGACGTACAATAAAAGTTTTATTTGATAGAAATAAGAATTGTCTAAAAATTTTACACAGGGTGTATCAGACCACTCGTGCCAGCCGAATATCTCAAAAACCGAGAACGGCAGACAAAAATGTTTCCTACAAAAGTTGTATGGTTTCGAGTAACGCATTACATAATAATATTAGTATGACCTTGAATAGCGTTGTCATGGTTACGTAAAGGTCACGTTTAATTTTTTAATGGAATTTCCCATTTTTCATTACATATCCTTGTAGCTTATCTCGAGAGCTTTCCAAAACACTATAATAAAATATTTTTTCATTGAGTACTTTTCGAGTTATGGGGCTTGAAATCATTTCCTAATTTTATATAAACCGTAATATATATAGTAAAATATTCATTTTTCGATTATCTTGCCTTAATACTTTTATGTACAAAATAATGAAAGAAATTAATTGGTGTAAAAAAACACATCATACACATCACACAATCGAGTTGCGACGCAGAAATCGCAAATTAAGAATATATTCTCATTTATTAAGAATATATTCTTATTCATTAAACATATTTATTAAGAGAACTTATAAAGTATACATTTCAGGAATACAATTTTTCAGTGTATTAAATTAATCCCTTGACTATCAATTATATATTTTCTGAACTAATTTGGGATGTAATGAGGAAAACACAAAAAGATATCTTTAAAATATATCTTATATCCACGTAGGACTACCTTAAGAGATCCAAAAAACATCCTGTGCTGTTTGGATTATGATCCTGAAAACGTCTTGTGGTGTCTTGTGCTGTCTAGATAAGAAACACAAAAGGATATCCTTAAAATATTTCTTAGTTCTGCAGGACTCTCTTAAAAGATCCAAAAAATTTCCGTTGGGCATTATCGCAGCGTTGGCAATTACTGCTGGGTTTGAGACGCCGATTTATTTGGCGAAAGATTCCTCCTCGTCCTCTTCTCGATATGCTCCGACGGATTGCCCAATCACAAAATGATATAAAAAAAATAATAATTAAGGACGCGAAATAACAATTATCGCTCATCTCTCCGGAGATCTCGACACGGCTCTCAATTTTTATCCGGCTGCTCAGCTCGCACTCCGTTAAGATTTTCGGGGCGGATGGACGCGCATCGGGACGGCAACGTCACGATATACAATAAGTATATTTTATATATCATTTTATATAATTATATGTATATGTAAACTTTTTTCCTGTGTAAGATTATTATTATTCTTTATATTTAAAAAAGATAATAGTTATATCTCATAAAACATATATTAACATATAATATATCATACTGATGAATTTACAATATCTATATGCGGTTTACTTACAAATATAAACATTAAAATATAAACATTAAAATTGACAATTAATATTCTATATGTAATTTACTTACATAAATCATTTTTATTATAACATGTTCGCAAGTTTCTTACATTTGATATTATAATAAAAAATAATCGAAAAGTCATCTATACTTAAAATTATCTTGCCTATCTTTAATAGAATGTAGTTCTTATTTATAAATTAAATATATGTTATTTTCATATAAATCGTTATAAATTTTGTCAGATATCTACAAAATGCCTCTTCGAATAGGAAAAATCAACAATATAGGAAAATTTGATGCAGAATTTTTTAATATGTCGATCGAAGAAGCTCATACAATTGATCCTGGAACTAGAATATTATTCGAAAGCACCTATGCAGCAATTATTGACGCAGTTGTCAATCCCGCAGAACTGCAGGGACAAGGACAGCAGTTATCACAGCAATATGAGCTTGTGATACATATCTCGATCTACGAAAAGCTTCATGTATGTTAATAATTTTACTATTCCAGACTCATGTATGTCAATAATTTTATTATTAAAAATCGATAAGAAAAACATGCACTCTTAAACCTGTATGAACGTATTAATAATTATTAGTTACTGGATTGCTCATACTTGGTTGCAGTAAAAATATGCCGGCAAATAGAATTTCTAACTGGCTCAACGTCACTGGACCATCGTATAACATCGATACTTGTAGCATGTAGCTCGAGCCATTTCGCTATGGTGGAAGCTTACAATTTGATTCGATCTGGAATCTGCGCAGCTATTGTCGCTAGTGTCAATTTATGCATTCATCCTTTTGCGACTTATCAGTTTTATCGTCTGGATATGTAAAAGATAATATTATGTTCAAAGATGTTGTATTTGAGATTGTTAAATAATATAACTTATTTATTGATGCATTAATTAACACCATATTTGATTTAATAGTTTCTCTTTTCAAAATATAACAATATAACTGATTCACCTACTTAATATATTTATCAACATTTTCAAATATTTTAAATATTTTATATATTTCTAAAATTTTCGCCTATAACTATAACTATAACTTATTCGCTTATTTTACATATTTATCAAATTTTTCAAATATTTGGTATATTAATTAAGAAACCGAAATAAAAAAGTAAATTACATTTTTTATATGTAATCAAAATAAATTATTGATATTATTTTAGGAGTTTTATCTCGCGATGACTACTGTAAATCTTATGATGAAGAAAAAAAAAGGCGCAGATTACATGCGTAGTGATGCGGCTGCAGTAGTATATTTGCAAAAAGCAAAGGATGCACGAAGAATCTATCCGACTTTTATTTATGGTAAAACCAACTGCGAAGGTTTTAAAGAAGAAGGAATTACCTTTCCATCATTCGACAAACATGTTTGGTTCATGTTTATGTGAATCCTCATTTTCCAAACTTAAGCATATAAAATCAAATGTACGATCATTTTTAAACGATACATTGTTAACCTTACTAATGCGAATAAATTCATCAAAAATTGACATTGACGTTTCATTATTTGAAGCAAGAAAATGCGCCCATACAATTTACAGCTAATACCGTTCCTGAGCTCGAGGACGTCTTACGTCTTCGAGAGCATTCTAGTTGCTATAAAAATAAAAGAGTGGGGATGGCAGTTAGAAAAATTGGCCGAAATGCAACCCGGCTGCAGGCCTGAACTATAGTATAGTCTGCGATAGCGATTCGATCTCCTTGCAAGAGGTCTCATGAAACGAATCATCGCGCTATATAAATTGAAACGAACTGGAAGTGGTGCCTTGTAAAATAATCGCTATCGATATCTTTCTCGACTCATATTTCTTCATATATTCAGATTTTAGAAACAAAAAATTTGTTTTAGTTTTCAGAGTTTTAGTTTTGTTCAATGATAGGAGAGAAATTTAATAATCTATTTCCTTTTCTTCTACATTAAGATGTTAAATTTAAAGAAATCCTACTTTTTATTTTTCATAGTTGTGTTATTATTAATAAAAATTATTATTAAAAAAATGTGTGAAGTTCCCCATTTCCCCTCTTCTTTATAACCATAAAATATATCTGTGCACTACAGATATGAGTAACAGAGATCGATAATTCGTTTCAATTAGAATTTAAGTCAAAATAATGGAAAATCAGGTAAAACGCAATAAAATGCGAAATTTTGAAATCAAATCGCGAAAAATTCAGTTCTCAACAATCAATATAAAACGCGAAAAGTTCAGTTCTCTGAAAATAACACGTTGAGAATTGCGTGCTATTTTTAAATAAAAAAAATATTGAAAAAAAATAACACTATAGATAGGTTTAGAACAGTTATCAAATATTTCGAAAACTAAGTTTTGACAGTTAATAAATAACCTTAAAATGAGTATCAAAGTAAGCGAGAAAACACATGGTTTGACAACTTAAAAAAAGTGGAATTTTTTTTTACATAATATTTCTTGCTAAACTTAGTTTTCGAAACATTTTATGAGAACATCACATTAGTGAATAATGAAACAATAAAGTGAATAATAATGAAATGACACGCAAGAATTGTCAGTGTGTCATTAGATCAAACAAAACATCATAAAATATAAAATGTCTTTTGACATTTTGTAATTTAGTTGTTTTGCAGGGGAAATTTCTGATATGTGGTCATTTGTTATTGACTTTTTCATGATAGGTGATATTGATTTTTAATGAATAGCTGATTTTATTTTATTTTATAATAATAATAGATTAATTTCTACAAATATTTCTTTGATTAAAAAATGTATCTTACAAATAAGTAAAAACATTAAGTTTTATAATTCTGTGTCAAAATGTAATTATTAAACAATTATTAATTTTTATTTAAAGAAGAATTAATTGTTTTCTGTAATATTATTTATAATATACATTTGTTAATATTAATTAATCACTAATGTTCGATGTACATAATAAATATATATACATATAAGAAATGATACAATAAAATTAGCTGTGCAGTAAAAATCAATATCTTCAATAATCAATATCAAAATCAATATCAATACTTAATATGAAAAAATCAATAACAGATGATAGATCGATAGACGTGTATGTATACAAGGTGTTCAATTTAAAATTATTTTTTGCGAAAAAACATGTCATTTGTCAAAACATGTCAATTTTGTTTTTGAGAGGGATATTTAAGTACATTAAATGCAACAAAATTTTTTTATCCCCTTCGTTAGGGTAATTATATCTCTTCAAAAATCTTAAATATGGCAATAGAGATCAAGTAATATATATTATTTTAATGATCTTTTAATTTTCTGTACAACTCTCTCTTTTTTTTAAATAAATATTTTTCGAGAAATTATATTTGAAAGTTTTAGATGGTTTTAATTTTTTTTTAAAGCGATCAAAAAAGAAAGATAGGACAGCCAATCTCTGTCACTTTCTATTTTACGCTTCAAGTAAAAGTATCCAACTGTCACTCACCGATTCTAATGAAACTTTGTACGCCAGTAACGAAGGAGAAGGCGAACTAATCGGAGACGTAATTTTAGTAATAAAACAGTTTATTTAAATGCTCATTCCAATGTCGCATTCCGACAGTGAAAAAAAAATCGTGCGGTAGCAATTGAAAATGGATTTTAAATTCATGAAATTTGCCGAAATAATCATTTTTGAACTAGTTAATAACAAATTACTCAAAAACCTGACGTGCTAGAAAAATTCTGCGGTCAGATTCATTTTTAGCGTCAAAATATCTATCAGATTCATTACTCTGCTTTTTTTTAATCAAGTCTAAAATTTTATAGGCCTGTGTTGTTTGTATTGCCTGCTACTCCTTGAATCAGCGAATAAATAAATATTTTTAATATAACGCGGAACGTATAGGTTTATATTAAACAAACTGAAATATTTTAAGATATATTTCGTAGAATAAATTTAAAAATTCTGCAATGCTTTTTTGAGATTAAGTGTTGTTATTTATTAATTCTAATATTTTAATGATGATTCACATTGATAAGGATTTATTATACAATTTTATATTTTTTAACAGATATTTACTCGTTTCGAGGATATTTTACGAGGAGATTTCACAATGATTAATCAAAATTATTTATACACATTTACCTTGACACTTATTTTGAAAAATCATTTCCGTACTTATTTGAATTTTTCTAGTGACAAAAGTTAATTGTATGATTATGTATATCAGATTCCTATTTTTTATTTGTGATTTAATTATATGAATATAATCATTTTTTTTGTCTTCTTTACTCCATATCCTTTAATTGTTAATTGTTAATTCTAGAAAAGAATAGATGAATAAAGACAAGCATCATTATATATAATGATTCATACGATTCATATAATAATTCTCATGTAAATGATTCTCTACATAAAATGATACTTTAAATTTATATTAAACGATTCTGCAATTTTTAATTGGATTGTATTAATTGTATCGATTGTTAATATGTTACAAAATATTATTAAATATTTAATATGAGAAATAAATTATATACCGTTTATTTTGAAAATGGCCTAAGTCTATTCGTCAATTACTTTTTATTATTTTTTTTTATTATTTTTAATTTAATTAAAACGCAAACTCTTAAATATGTCAATTTAAATATAAATAGACTTAGGTCACTTTCAAAATAAACGGCTCATATATCATTAAATGTTTATATGTTAAAAATGTATGAAAAACAATTTTTTTCCTGCATAATAATAATAAAATTATAAATTTCGCGAATATATATAATTTATTTTAGTATTTACATTTCCTACGTAAAATAATTTTGTTTCTTTACACAGTCAATTTGAGCAAATAATCATAATTGAAGATTGATTATATCTTTTATTTTTACTATTATTAAGAGAATGTCAGATCATTCTGTTTTACTAATCAAAACGATTATTTTTTTCTGTATCGAAATTTATGTATAGATCATACGGAATAAGAAATCCTTTTCCATGATTAAAGTATGCATAGTAATGTATCTCGAAGCTATTGCCTTTTTGTTAAAAAACGAAAGAAGATTAGAAAATTAGTTTTTTTTCGGCTTTTGGCATCAGATCGTAACAATATTCTCTTAATATAAAAGTTTTACAGTTTGTGCGTGCAAAATAGAATCAAGACTCGTAATTGCATGAAGGAATATAGATGAACTACTAAAAATAGATTTAGTAATCGAATAACAAAAAATTCGGCGCAGACAATTTTTGTGCATATGTGTGTGTGCGACAGCGAGACACAAGAATAAAAGATATCCATAATTACCCGATGTCGGCATTACAATTTAATTGTGTGACAAGGAGAAACAATTTCCTTTTCTACCATGCCACGTGTAATAGTATATGTTAATATATGTACGCATAGAACTAAAGACCTTCGCACATGCAAAAATTTTAATCGTAACCGTAAGGTCGTAAGAAAACTGATAAATCATAGTGCGATAAAAGAATAATCAACTGTGATTGGTTAGTTTTCTAACACTCTTGCTCTTGTTAATTCTTTCTCGTATTACACATACCTAAAAAAATTACCTTGTCAAAAAAAGGTAAAAAAAAGAAGTCGAGTCATCTCAGTAGCAAAACATTATTGTATAGAACTATTTTACAAAAAATTATTTTAATAAAAAATTGCTGTATTAAAAAAAATTGTGTAAAATAGTTGTCATAACTATCTACAAAAATTAATGATATATTTAAGTAGAAAATTACGTCGAGAATAAAAAAGTGCGATTTTATTTTATGTTTATCAACAGTGTGTGTGTGTGTGTGTGTGTGTGTGTGTGTGTGTGTGTCTGTCTGTCTGTCTGTCTGTCTCTCTCTCTCTCTCCCTGTGTGTGTGGTGTGTGTGTGTGTGTGTGTGTGTGTGTGTGTGTGTGTGTGTTAGATGTGATTGACTGCTGATAAATAATTAGATGAAGAAAAATTATGTTTATATTTTCGTCGAAAGTTATCTTTGTCGTAAAAGTCAGAATCCCGATTTCTTCAACGATGAATAGTTGATTCATGTAGTTCGTAATTTAAAAATTTCAATTATTAAAAAACTCCACGCTGCCAAATTTATTTGTATATTAATCAGCAGCGTCGAGTTTTTTAATAATTAAAATTTTTTAAATTACGAGCTACATGAATCAACTGTTCATCGTTGAAGAAATCGGGATTCTGACTTTTACGACAAAGATAACTTTCGACGAAAATATAAACATAATTTTTCTTCATCTAATTATTTATCAGCAGTCAATCACATCTAACACACACACACACACACACACACACACACACACACACACACACACACACACACACACACACACACAGTTGATAAACATAAAATAAAATCGCACTCTTTTATTCTCAACGTAATTTTCTATTTAAATATATCATTAATTTTTGTAGATAGTTATGACAACTATTTTACACAATTTTTTTTAATACAGCAATTTTTTATTAAAATAATTTTTTGTAAAATAGTTCTATACAATAATGTTTTACTACTGACAAGAGATGACTCGACTTCTTTTTTTTACCTTTTTTTAAAAAGGTAATTTTTTTAGGATATCACTAATTTTTGTAGACAATTAAGAAATAACTATTTTGCACATTAACTTTGTTTAATGTAAAAAATTAACAAAAAATTAAAAAGTAGTTTAAGGCTCAATATATAAAAAATAGAATTCAAAAGTGATGTTACGGGTCGATGAGCCAGAATCGCGTATCGTGTGGCGACAAACTCAAAGATAACACCTATACGTTATTTTGGCAAGGATGGACAATATAACAGAAATAACGTATGTATTAAGTGAAAATTTATTAGCGCAAACGTTTCTACCCGTATCGAGCTCTCTTCAGTGAAAACAATTAATTAAGAAATAATAATAAACGACAAAGTTGATTGGAATCCTAATTGGAGACATATAAAATAATATACAAAATTCGCAAGTGTGAGATAAAAACGACGATATCAGAAAGTCTGCGTGCGCGTGCAGACAAGGCGCTCGCAAAAATCATAATGGAGTAAAAGTTGCATATACAATAATATAATCAGTCTGTAGACAAAACGTTCAAAAATTAATGCCGTAAATTGAAAAATTATCATAAGGAAGTCGCTAATATAAAACATATTACAGAGCTCCATGAATTGTAACAATTCTGCGTATATGTGTAGATATGATGCTCACCTTCGTTGTTGGAATGTTTACAAGAAAAGATCGTTCCACGAAACGAAAACAAGGAAAAAACCCAGGAGATCTCGTCTTCCGATGTAATAAGAATATTATATAGTGTAAAGTTCTGATAAAATCCGTAGGTAATCTGTAATAATTATAAATCAAAAGGAGCAACAAGTCTCGCACATATAACCACAGAAGTGGTAAAAAAGTGTACAAAATAAAAAACGCACAGAAAACATAATATAAAGATGGATATAAATAATATCATGGACAGAAAGTTAACAATTTTGGAAACAGTGCTAGCAATTACAAGTTACAAATTCAAAAATAAAGATTAATGATATTTGGACGGTAAATTATAGTAGAGAAAAGTAAAAATCATCGTTAAAGTATTCATATAATCATGATCTCGTAAATAAATTAGAAAAAAAGATAGATAGAGACAAAGAAAATAGTAATAACGCTCACCAAGATTGTTAGCAACAGATGGTATGGAAAGCAGAAGAAATGCGGAGCGTCAAAATAAATGTGTCGACAAATCGCAAGTTCGCAACGTAATGAGACGCGTATGTCGAAATCTCACAGCTGGCCGTTGGTAAGGGAGGGGATGGATGGGTAGCGTGAACGCGGGTGGAAGTGGGTGGGGAACCAAGGGAACGGGGAAAGCGGGAAGAGGGGGGTGGAAAGAGGAACCGTGTAGAGGGAAAGGAATAATGAATTAAATTAAAATAATTATGAAAGGGTAAAAGCATTAATTCTTTTAAGAATGGGAAAGTAAGAATTATTCAACTTATCAATATCATCCTTTATATTAATACTGTGAGCTTGTTCTTTAATGTGTAGCATTTCTGAAATTAATCTCTTAATATAATGCGGTTCATTATCCAATATAGAGACATTCTGCCAGTCAAATTCACGGCCAGATAATCTATGTTCAGACACTACAGTCAGATTAGCTGAGGGATTATCAATGTTAGATTGATGTTCTTTAATACGTGTTCTCAGTTGTCTCTTGGTTTGTCCAACCAGTAGGAGGCATCACAATCAAGACAATTAATTCTGTAAACTACGTTGGATTTATATTCGTTAGATAAAGAATCGTAACGTTTTGTCTACAGACTGATTATATTATTGTATATGCAACTTTCACTCCATTATGATTTTTGCGAGCGCCTTGTCTGCACGCGCACGCAGACTTTCTGATATCGTCGTTTTTATCTCACACTTGCGAATTTTGTATATTATTTTATATGTCTCCAACTAGGATTCCAATCAACTTTATCGTTTACTATTATTTCTTAATTAATTGTTTTCACTGAAGAGAGCCCGATACGGGTAGAAACGTTTGCGCTAATAAATTTTCACTTAATACATACGCTATTTCTGTTGTTCTTATTGTCCATCCTTGCCAAAATAACGTATAGGTGTTATCTTTGAGTTTGTCGCCACACGATACGCGATTCTGGCTCATCGACCCGTAACATCACTTTTGAATTCTATTTGTTTAATGTAACATTTTTGTAGTTTAAATAATACTATGTCTTGTGCATAAAACAGTTTTTTACAATAACATAAAATTTTTTACAATTTAATACTGACACATGATTAACTTTTTTATACTTTTTAAAAAAGTAATTTTTGAGAATATGTTAAATATCCAAATAAATAAGCAAAGAATCTGCCACCAGCCCCGTTATTTCATTAAAATATGACGATCTTCTCTACTTAATATACTTTTTGCAAACTTCGTAAAGTTAAAATATTAACAAAGCTACATTCTTCAATTATTATAATTCCAGGTGAAGTTCACTTTAATAAAATTTTAATTTTAGGTTTAATTACAAACCTTCGACATTTTCAATGAAGAAAAATCGTCTCTAAATAACTTAGAAATCTGTTATTAATGTTACTAAATAGTGTGATAGTGCAGGAGACTGCATATAGGATGAGTTTTATTTCGTGTACCAATTTTTTTTATGTGAGGGATTACTGCTCAGGTAGCAAGCACACGTCATTTTGACATTGTTCCAAACTAGTCATTTTTGGTCATATGTTGTCAAAATGACTGATTATTGTTACATGACTTTATATTGACGTCTTGCTATAACATTATTTTGACGTCATTTTTCAGTCATGAAGTGACGATTATTTTATTATGAATGTCATTAGTTAGTACATCGATCCCATAAAAAAATCTTTTAATATTTTTTATATGACATGATTTATTTCGCGATCAGACTTTTAATATGTATATATATATATATATATATATATATATATATTTATATATTTATATATATTTATATTTATATATTTATTTATTTATATTTATATTTATTATATATTATATTTTTATATTTATTATATTATATTTATGAAATAGAGAGATGAATTGAAAAGTTTAATATTACTGGCAATAACGAAAGGAATATTACTGAGATATTATTGAAATAGTCAAAATTATTAATTGATTCTTTCTATAAAATATTACTGATTTACAGCGCTGTACTTATATAATAATTACTGTAATCAGTGATTATTTACTGTTTTTCAATGATAATACACTGATTTACTTTTAGAGAGTGCTTTATTCGACAACATTATTAAATATATTATTATGCTAAGAGAAAGACGTCAAAATGCGGTACATGTCATGATGTCAGGAATCTGTGACAGTTAGATCGTCACTTTTACGTCTTAAAAACGTCAATTCGTGACATCAAGAATAATCAGTGAATGACCAATTTGAAACGTCAAAATGACGTGTGCTTGCTACCTGGGTGATTGCAATTGCAATAAATTAATCGATACATAGGTAGCAATTATTTGGATAAGTATTACATTCGATATGCATGGTCGATTCAAATAATTGACATCTATAGGTACTTTCCGATTCACACATGATGCGCATAAAGTGACAGATAATGTATAATAATATGCGTAACATGAACTATACATTTTCTGTCACTTTATGTGCATCATGCGTGAATCGGAAAGTATACTATGTACCGATCAATTCATTCCAATTACAGTCGTAATTTCTTGCATGATAAAAAAATTATACATCTCTCATCGTCACGAGAACACTGCGCCTCTTTCGTCAAACGTGTGAACCGTACAAGAAAAATATGTAAAAAATGTAGTATAGCTCACAGACTTCTATAATACACTAGACTACTAGGCTCGTATATATTCCCCACCTAGCGTGTACCCCGAAAGTATGTACCAGAGAGAAACCTGAGAGCGGCCACCAGCCTCGACGGGCACATTTCTCGATGCTTGACGCGCCGTCTGACAAAGTGGACGTGAACTATGTCATTAGACTCGGTAACGAAACATGGTTTGTGTCTATGATATGGGTTCATGTCCGAACTATTCAGAGATGGACAGTCGGATAAGAATCGATGATTCATCGTTCTGTCTTTGTCTCATCAATGACAGACCACGCGACTGCCACGCGACGAGCTTACGATTTTGCTTTCCTCTTTCTCTCGTCGCGCTTTCACGTTCTTCGTTATGATGTAATAACGAAATGATCTTCACATAATCCTAATTTTTTAAGGGTATTGGCAGACAAGTTTTCCAACTTTGTATGTCCTGTAACAAAAATACAACACATTATGAAAATTACGATTACATGCTTACTTCAAGCTGCCATAGCAATTGATATACCGAATGTTTGATAAAAAAAATTTTTTTATGTCAGGCGTGTTGGTTATAATCAATTCGATAAAGTGCTACTTCATAATAGCGCGTAGCAGTGCAAGTAAGATGACTGCTTGTCACGGCGCTGACCCGAGTTCGAATCTCTCTGCTGTCGTTTTTTTTATTTTTATTTTATGAAATAATAAAATAACAAATAATATGTATTGAATTTGGGAGCCGAAAAGGCAAAAAATTAATAAAATAATGACAATTATTGCACAAAAACATACTTGTATTGCCTATCCATGTATTGCATCTTGTATCCTTCTGCATTGGAAATCGAAATAGCCGTTTCCTATGCGAAAATCTTCCATTCTTACATTCTTTACTTTATTTCTGTACACGCACTTATCATAATAACTATCTATAGGGCACTGACTCGACATAGTGATTGTTTATTATAATGCAAAACAAAAAAATATAAAAATAAAATTAAAAAAACTTAAAAATAGAAATAAAAGAGAAATACAACACGTGATAAAAAAATAAAAAAATTACACAACCAACACAATAAAAGCATACACGCACGTACGTGTACACGCAGAAATATTTATAGATAATGTGTCGTGTTATATAAAAGAAACGAGAATACGTGTTGCAAAATACACAGATCTTACAGATCGTTAAAAAAATATAAATTTAAAACAATAGAAGAGATCTGTTATGCACAGATAATGAAGTACCGCAGAAAAATCACGACAGTGAAACGTAATTCTTTTATATATTAATAAAAGATTAAAGAATTTGTTTATTGTTAATGTAAAGTTATTTTGTATATCATCATACAAAGAATTATAGTTTCACAAACTGATTTATCTATCTTTTTGTTATGTAGGGACAATTGTCTCCTACTCCGCCCGTGTTACATACACACGCACATTTTCCACACATGTCCGAAATCCTACCAACTTTCTAATTCCCGCATGCATGCATCCGCTTTCACCTCAATAGAATTTACAACCCTTGCATGTTTCGCAGCCGTCCTCCGAGTCTATAGATTGCCATGTAACATTTGGCAAACATATGGTTTTTCCTTATGCAATTCATCCCTTGTAAAATTTCTCCTATTATAAAAAAACCTTTCTCGGTTCATGCATTCGGAATCCAGATTTCCAGAGTGCAGTAAGTTCCCGGCTTGCACAGAGTTCACATCACCCGATTGAACACGATACTACTGACTCGCTCGCGTACAGACACATCACGCTCACATCAGATATACTCATTTAACAATTGTATTATAAAAGAAACAAATACAGAATTATTATTTATTGCAACGTAGAGTCTTAGTTGTGACATACCCCACAAATTGGTGACCCCGACGTGATCTCTTTTTTTTCGCGAACCGTGAGTGATCTGCTCAGTGTATTTTAGTGCTTGTCCCTTTAGAATTTATATGGCTCACAACAACGGTAGTGGTGTCGCGAACCGCGAAACGGCGAACCCGTCACATTCGTCGTCGATCGATCGGGTATCAGTGAAAGTACCATCATTCATACCCGCGGACCCGGAGTTGTGGTTCAGGATGCTGGAGGGCGGTTTCGCAGCTGCAGGAATAACGCAGAGCAGCACCAAATATGGCTACGTAATCACAACCCTCGATCAAAGGTACGCTCTGGAGGTCCGCGACATACTTATGAGGGAAGAACAATCGTACGAACTCTTAAAAACCGAGCTGATCAAGCGCCTTGACTCTTCACGCGAGCAGAACACGCGTGTTGGAGAACGAGCCTCTCGGAGATCGTAAACCGTCGCAGTTCCTCAGGCATCTTCGCGGTCTTGCCGGTAAGGAGTTCCCTGAGGACGTCTTGCAAACGCTCTGGCTGGGCCGTCTGCCTAGGCACGTCCAGGCCCTCCTCGCGGCGCATCGGGACCTCACGCTCGATAAGCGAGCCGATATCGCGGATTCCATCGCGGACTTGTACGGCCCGGCAGGTCTCATCGCCGAGACATCAGCCCCCGCACCTCAGCCTGCCCGAGCACACGGTGACGATCTGATTCGTGTGATGGCGGAGATGGTACGGAGGCTCGCGGCGATCGAGGTTAATACCCAAGGAGCGCGTCAGCCAACTAGCGGATCCTGCGAAGCCTGCGGAAGATCGCGCTCACGCTCTCCGTCGCGCTCGCGTTTCCGGTCGCGCTCGCGATCACGGAGCCAGCGTCCTGATGCAGCTGGCGAGATATGCTGGTACCATTGGCAATACGGCGACAAGGCAAGAAAGTGCGAAAAGCCGTGCAAGTACAGTGACAGATCTCCGGAAAACGAGCAGGGCAGTCGCTAATGGCGGCCGACGACATCAGCCCCGTGATATCGCGCCGCCTCTTTGTCAGCGATCGATCCACCAAATTACAATTCTTGATTGATACGGGAGCCGACGTGTGCGTATTTCCACGCTCGCGCCTACCGGGACCTCGTACGAAATCAAGCTACGAGCTCTCCGCGGCTAACGACACAACAATCGCTACATACGGAACAGTAGCGCTAGCTCTGGACTTTGGACTGCGACGGCAATTCACCTGGAGGTTTGTCGTCGCCGCGGTCTCCAAGCCAATCATCGGTGCAGACTTCCTCGTGCACTACGGACTCTTGGTGGACATGAGGAACCAGCGGCTGTTGGACGCGACCACTCAACTCACCTCTCATGGAAGGGTGATTGAGTGTGACATTCCGAGTGTTAAGACCATTTCAGGCTCATCGCGGTATCACGAACTCCTCCACCAATTCCCGGAGGTGACACGACCGGACGGAACCCCCAAGGCCGTAAGTCACTCGACGAGACATTATATCACCACCACACCAGGGCCGCCTGTCGCACAGAAGCCACGTCGACTTTCAACAGAGAAGTTGAAGGCGGCGAAGAAGGAATTCGAGGCCATGCTGCACCTGAGCATCGCTCGCCCGTCACAGAACTCCTGGGCATCGCCCTTGCACATGGTGCCGAAAAAAGGCGATGACTGGCGTCCTTGCGGAGATTATCGCGCCCTTAATGCGAGAACCTGCCCGGACCGATATCCCGTGAGACACATCCAGGATTTCTCCCAGTCACTTCATGGGAAAGACGTCTTTTCCATCATCGATCTGGTACGAGCCTTCAATCAGATTCCTGTCGCGGAGGAGGACATTTCTAAGACAGCCATCACGACGCCTTTCGGTCTCTTCGAATTTGAGTACATGACCTTCGGGTTGCGTAATGCCGCGCAGACTTTCCAGCGCTTCATTGACGAGGTGCTGCAAGGTCTGGAGTTCTGCTACGCATACATTGACGACATCCTCATCGCATCAACATCAGAAGCAGAACATCTAAAACACCTGAGGATTCTGTTCGAGCGGCTGAAGAAGTATGGAGTCGTCATCAACCCAGCTAAATGCGTATTCGGACAGCCCGAAGTCAAATTTCTCGGCTACCTTGTTTCCGGCGCAGGGACGCGCCCGTTACCGGAGAAGATCGACGCCATACGGACCTATCCACGACCCGACACGGTGAAGAAATTACGTCAATTCTTGGGCATGTTGAATTTTTATCGAAGATTCTTGCCCAAGGCTGCAGAGACGCAAGCACCGCTTAACAACCTGCTGTCAGGCAATGTTAAAGGGAAGTCGCCAGTCAACTGGACGTCAACAACTATAGAGGCATTTGAAGCAAGCAAGGAATGCTTAGCCCAAGCAACCTTGCTGGCTCATCCCGAGCCCGACGCACCGCTCGCAATCTTCAGCGACGCGTCAGACTACGCAGTCGGAGCAGCCCTACAACAACGGATCGGAGACGCCTGGCAACCCCTTGAATTCTTTTCCAAGAAGCTAAGTCCTGCGGAAGCAAAATACGGAGCCTACGATCGGGAGTTACTTGCTGTTTACCTAGCAATCAAGCACTTCAGGCACACCGTGGAAGGACGATCATTCACAGTTTACACGGACCACAAACCTCTCATCTATGCGTTCCACAAGAAGACGGCCCAATGTTCACCTCGACAATTCAGACACCTGGACTTCATCGGACAATTCACCACCGATATCCGCCATGTTTCCGGGGAGGACAACGTAGTAGCAGACGCTCTGTCGCGCGTAGAGGAAGTTGAGCATACGCTCGATTACGAAGCCTTGGCAGCAGCCCAACAACAAGACGAAGAGCTCCAGCGATATCTAGAGGAAGACTCCACCCTCTTAATAAAGAAGGTACGCATCCCCGGCACCGACGTTGCAGTATTTTGCGACGTCTCAACACAGACAGCGCGGCCCTTCATTCCTCAGGAGTTCAGGAAAGTCGCATTCGATTCGCTGCACCAGCTGTCCCACCCGGGAATCAACGCGACGGTCAAGCTCATAACCCAGCGCTACGTATGGCCGTCGATCAAAGCTGATTGTAGACAATGGACCCGCAGCTGCATCCAATGCCAACGCGCCAAGATCTCTCGCCATGTCTCATCACCTGTACATTCGCACCACCTTCTGCCAGGTTCGAGCATATACATATTGATATCGTAATCATGCCACCGTCTGAGGGATACCGATACTGCCTAACTATGGTAGACCGATACTCTCGCTGGCCAGAAGCTGTTCCCCTGCAGGATCAAGAAGTTGCAACTGTCGCACGTGCTCTCTACGACGGATGGATATCTCGGTTCGGCACGCCGTTGAGAATAACCACGGATCAAGGCAGACAATTCGAGTCGTATCTTTTCAAGCAATTAAATCACTTGTTAGGTACGACTCACCTGAGAACAACCGCATACCATCCTTCAGCCAACGGCATGGTTGAACGGTTGCACCGTCAACTAAAAGCAGCAATCATGTGCCAACAACAATGCCGATGGACACAGAGCCTTCCCACCGTCTTGCTGGGCATCCGCTCAGCTTGGAAAGAGGACCTGCAAGCCACGGCAGCCGACATGGTCTACGGACAGTCGTTACGCCTCCCGGGCGAGTTCTTAGGATCTTTCCACCGCGAAAACGCAGCGGACAATGTGTCAGATTTCATCAAGGAGCTACGCCAACATCTGAGGGAATTGAGACCGACGAAGATATCTCGCCACGGTACGGGGAAGACATTCATTTTCAAGGACCTTGCTACCTCGGAGGAAGTCTTTGTACGCCATGATGGTCTCAAACAGCCTCTGCAACAGCCGTATGACGGCCCGTACAAAGTCATCAAAAGGGCAGAAAAGACGTTCGTGGTTCGTATGAACGGCCGGGACGTTACGGTTTCCATCAACCGCCTTAAACCAGCGTACATCATGGCCAATGATCCAGTCGTCTCTCAGGATGGCAACAACGAGGAGGACGTTCCAGGCCCTTCCGAAAAGGGCACAGTAATTACAGACCTACCCGATACACAGAAACACACACATCTAAAATCAACACTAGAAAACTCGACCAAACACGTAACCAAGTCAGGTAGACGTGTCCGCTTTCCGGACCGGCTACAAGGAGGATTTTCGTAAATTCTTATATATCGTTAAACACTAGCAGGGGGGTACTGTAGGGACAATTGTCTCCTACTCCGCCCGTGTTACATACACACGCACATTTTCCACACATGTCCGAAATCCTACCAACTTTCTACTTCCCGCATGCATGCATCCGCTTTCACCTCAATAGAATTTACAACCCTTGCATGTTTCGCAGCCGTCCTCCGAGTCTATAGATTGCCATGTAACATTTGGCAAACACATGGTTTTTCCTTATGCAATTCATCCCTTGTAAAATTTCTCCTATTATAAAAAACCTTTCTCGGTTCATGCATTTGGAATCCAGATTTCCAGAGTGCAGTAAGTTCCCGGCTTGCACAGAGTTCACATCACCCGATTGAACACGATACTACTGACTCGCTCGCGTACAGACACATCACGCTCACATCAGATATACTCATTTAACAATTGTATTATAAAAGAAACAAATACAGAATTATTATTTATTGCAACGTAGAGTCTTAGTTGTGACATACCCCACAGTTATTATTTTCAAAATTAAATATAATTACATAAAAAATGATTACATAAAATTAATCATCCGAATTATCGATCTCATCAAGACATGAGCCAGGATGATATTTATCATAAAAACATGAAAAACATAATGTAACACAATATCTAGCGCATTGGATGCTGTATTGTGCCGTATATGTGTGAGCAATCTTATTAAAACTTTATTTTTTTACAAGAAAATTATTCACATCATTCGATACACTAGATGTTATATTACATTATGTTTTTCATGTCTAACACTAACACGTAAATGCATCAAAGTAAGATATCATTCGCATTGATATTTTTTTAATTAATGAATTATTTAAAAAATATATAAAATAAAATATTACTATAATAATATGAGAGTTGTAAGCATTTATGAAATACAGATATAATTATTTTAAATAAAAAGAAAAGGTTTTATTAAAAAACATTTTTAATAAATATCTTTATAATAAATAAATAAATTTGTCTCTATATATTGGGCGCCCGAAGTCGTCTCGAAATCCTATCCGAATTATGTAAAATGTAGCGCGTGAAATATGAGACGGGGCCGACAAGGGATGGAAGGAGACATGAACTTTACGATAGAAAATCACCGCTCGCCTCATGCCTACCGCCGCGTGATTTGCCATCATTGGTAAGACAAAAGCAGAACGATAGATTATCGGCTCTTGTCTAACTCTCACGTCCATCTCATGTGAATAATTCGGATATGAACCATAGCTCGGACATGAACCATAGCTCAGATACGAACCATGTATTATTATCGACTGTAATGGATGTAGTTGACGTCCACTTTGTCAGGCGGCGCATTAGGACAATGTGCCCGTTAAAGCGAGGTGGCCGCTCTCAGGTTTCTCTCTGTATGTACACATAGGCACCCAAAGGCGACAGACTGAGTTACCGATTGGAATGCGACTAATATTTTATAGTCCTACGACTATGGATTACTGAGTGAGATATGTGATATATATACTATATATCGTCATTGTTCCGTCTATGTATGTATAAATTAAACGGACAAAATAAATTAAAGTGCATACATAGGTATATATATATATATATATATATATATATATATATATATAGAGAGAGAGAGAGAGAGAGAGAGAGAGAAAGAGAGAGAGAGAGAGAATTACTAATAATGACAATAAGATGCGTGGTGCAAGGATGCACAAATATATATAAGAAAGGATGTGGTATACATTTCTTTTCGTAAGTATTACTTTTTTGAGGTTAGTATTATAATTCTCAAACTAATACTCTATTAAATATGATAGATTTCCTATAAAGAAACCACAAGTTAAGATATGATAAAATATGATAGATTTCGTATAAAGAAACCACAAGTATTGAAACGGTGGATAATGGCAACAGGTCGTTCTAATTGGCAACCATCTACAGCAAGCAAAGTGTGCAATTTGCATTTTAAATCATCAGATTTTATGGATACACCTAATATGACTCAGAAAATTCTAAAGAATGATACAATTCCAACAATAAATGTGGCATACTATGTAGAAGAAGTGGGAATTGATCCTCTAGATCAATTACAAAAAGAAATCGAAATGCGTAAGTCATATAAATTCAAATATTACATTATTTACTATACTATAAGATATGTATATATATTTATATAAGTATACACTAGAGAGAGTGAAAAACAGGACTATATGTCATTCAAATACATAACAGTAGATTAGTATATACCTTACATAGCAGCTAAGTATGCTCTAACATAATGAAAAATATAAGGAATAGAAACAGGAATAATATAAGAAAGAAAGAGAAATCTTCTCTCTCTCTTTTCTACATTATTTTCTGTTCCTATTCCTTATATTTTTCATTGTGCGAGAGTCTTAAAACTATATTTAATAATTTGCTTTTGTGTATAATTAAGAAAATATATTTCTTTTTATTATTGTATAGAAGAAACAAATACAAGATTGGACAATGCAGAAACAATAGTTCAAGATAGTAATATTCAATATACTTTTGTAATGACTGAAACAGGTAATTATATAAACATATTATAATACATGATAATATATAATTTTGAATTTAATAGAATTATAACTACAGTATTTATATATAGGTACAAATATAAATAATAGAAAAAGGAAACTATGTCAATGCGATGACACACATTTTGCAAAGATTAGAAAATTTGAAGAAGAAAATAAGAAATTACAAGATTTATATTTGAAAGAAATTGAAAAATGTAATAAAGAGCTTGAAAAGCAAAAAAAAATATTTCAAATTGTACTTGATAAAGAAAAAAAAGCAATGAAAAAAAAGTTAAATGCAAGTAATTTAAAATGTAAGCTGTTATTAAGAAAGACTAAAAGAAGAGAGAAAAAAATAACAAATATGTCCAACTTGCTTACAACTCTAAAAAAAAAAAATTAATTAAACAAACAACATTTGATACATTACAAAATGACTTTTCTGATACCATGTTGCCAATTTTAAAAAATGAACTACGCAATAAAGGTAAATCTATGTATGGAAAACGTTATAGTGATGACCTTAAAAAATTTGCAGCTACTCTGCATTATCATTCCCCAAAGGCTTATGCATACTGTCGGTTAGCATCTTTTCTTTTATTTCTACTCAGTGAGAAAAGACCTATCGAATCGACATCGAATTGATGTCGAATCGATGTAAATTGCATCGATTCGATGTCAATTTGATGTCGATTTGATGGTAATTTCTCACTGGTATTTCTACTAATATATAATAATTTCCTATTAATATATTAATCAACTTATATTTTTTTGTTATTGAAATAATTTTTTCCTCTAAGCATGAAGCATGGTTGACATGGAAATAGTTTCAATAGCGTTATTCAGATTATATTTATGTACATATTAAAATATTTATTTATAATCTTATTTGCAGAAGTATTATGACATTGCCACATCCATCTTCAATAAGACATTGGACATCTGCAATTCATGTTAAACCTGGCTTTTTTACTCAAGGATTGGAAATACTAGAAAAAATACCGGACGAAGATAAAGACTGCGCTTTAATCTTTGATAGCATGGCCATAAGGCAACAATTATGTTGGAGTCAGACAGAAAATAAATTTGTAGGCTATTGTGATTACGGCAATGATCTAAATTTTGAAAAGAAAGAAACTGAAGCGAAAGAAGTATTGGTCTTTATGCTTGTTAACCTGAAGGGGAAATGGAAATGGCCAATTGCTTATTTTTTAAAAAATAAAATGTCATCAATGGTGTTGGCTGAACTAATTAAAACTGCATTAACGTTAACAGCACAAATAAAATTAAAAATAATATCTGTAACATGGGATGGTGAAGCTGTTAATACAAGTGCTTTGAATATATTAGGTTGCAATATTTTTCCAGATAACTTAGAAGAAATAATTAACTTTTTTATTCATCCCACTGAAAATTATAATATATATATTATTTTAGACGTTATTTTAGACATGCCACATGTTGAAGATAGGTAGAAATGCTTTAGCTGATTACGGAGAATTTGAATATAGCGGAAAATCTATAAAATGGATTTATATTGTACTTTTACATAGATTTCAAAAATTACTAACGTTCAAATTAAAGAATAAATTAAGTTCTCAATGCATTTATTGGGCACAAAATAAAATGAAGGTCAAATATGCAGCCAATACGTTCAGCGCTTCAGTTGCAAATGCGATTGATTTTTTAAAACAGGAAGGCCTTGATGATTTTAAAGATAGTGACGAAACTGTAACATTTATTAAAGCAGTTGACCAGTTATTTGATTTTCTAAATTCTAGAAATCCATTTGGCAAAAATTTCAAACAACCGATTACAGTACAAAATTGGTCTTATTTACAAAAAATGATAAAAGAAAAATTGAATTATCTATTTTCTTTGAAATTAAAAGGAGGAAAGTTTTTAAAAACATCTGGTAGAAGAACATTTCTTTATGGCTTTGCAATAACTGCTAAATCAGTTTTGTCAATATCTGAAAATTTATTATTTGCATCTAATCCCTTATATAAATATATATTAACATATAAATTTTCTCAAGACCACCTCGAATTGTTTTTTGCTAAAATAAGAAGCTGCAATGGTAACAATAATAATTCGAACGCACTACAATTGCAATATGTTATGAGAAAAATTTTATTGCGAAATAATATAAAATTAACAGATAATTATAATTGTTTAGAATTAGATAATGATCCTGTTGGATCAGTATTTGATTTTGTGTGGAAAAAGAAAAAAAAAGAAACCGTTCTATATGAGGAAAATAGTATAGAATCTAATGAAGATGAGATAATAAGCGATAGAAATACTAATATAGATCAAAATAATAATATAGAAAGACCACATATTACACATTTACAGCAAAATATATTATATTATATTAGCGGATACATAGTAAAAAAACTAAAAAGTATTAATTGTTACCATTGTGCTAAAAGCTTAATACAAGACGATATAGAACATAACTAT